CCCAGATCTCACTGTTCATCCATCCACTTTTTAGAGTCATACTCCTGGCTGTATATTGTCTCTCTTTTGTTCTTCCTACCAAAACACATCCCTTCACACAAATGTGACATGCAGTGAGCTTGGAAGGAGGGTGATGGGTCAGGAGACATCATCCACAAAAGAGAATCTGGATTGTTTGTCTCATTTTGTGGGTTCTGTGTCTTGTGCTAAGTGTGGTGCTCCTGGGATGCCTGGCCATTCAGACTTGTGTAGATTTTTGATAAGGGCTCGACCAGTGAAAACCCTCTTGGTTGTATGCTCCTGCCCTCGAGGATTGGGGATGGGTACCAAACTTGGCAAACAGCGTGCTTTGCCTTGCTGCTCTTGTACCCAACATAATGCCCACGGAAGAGGAAATTGAGTGGTGTTGGGGAGGTTAACCTGGTTGCTGTTGCTTTTCTCGCTGAAGATTTGCCATTTGTATTTCAGGTGCGAGAGGGGCACAATGCAGTGTCTCCGTTAAAAACACAACGAGAATAGGCCGCTCAGCCCTTCAAGCCTAATTCGCCCATTGAATAAGATTATAGCTGAGCTAATTTTAACCTCAACTCAACTCTACATTCCTCTCTATCCCTGGGTTTAATCTTTTTCATCCAGCAGTGGGTGATTTGACATAGTCTGGTTACAGGCAAGATACTGTCTCTCCACACCCCCACCAAAAAAAATGCTATATCTGCAGGTTGGTGGAAAGCATTGGGAGGAAATGGGAAAGCAACCAAGTCTAGCTGCTTGAGGAAATATTGGGTGATATTTGATTTTCTAGCTAGAGAAAAGAGGTTTGGCACATTATTGCCTACAGAGCACGTTCTGATAGTGCGAGTGCAGTGATGAAACCGGAATAATATGCAGGAATAATGATGGAGGGGCGGAGGCGGGGTGGGGGAATGGGGAGTTGTGGGAACTGTTAATTCCAGTTTGATTTTCAAAACTGGGATATTCCCTGCTAGGGATGTGTTGCCAAGAAAGGTCCTGAATGATTTCCTTTGGAAAGATGGAGGGTGAGAGAAAGGTGTATACCTGTTGTCGTCAGGTAATGCTGAGTGAAACTGTGTGTAATCCAGGGTATTGAAGGTTATAGTGCAATGTAATGGAATTTCCACAGGGAATCCACTTTTTATCTTCAACATTTGGTAAATTCTGCCCTTCTGGGCCTTTGTCTAGAGAGAGCATGTTGGGTTATAATATTGGGATGACATGATTGGGTCTAAGTCTACCTCTTGTCAAATCAATTTTAACATGAACGGTTAAGACAATTTGTAGGAAAGTGTGGACTGTGACTAAAGTATGATTGTTTGTGCCAGTACACTGGAGAAGTTGTGTGACCATGTGTAGGTTATTAACATGTACTTTAGTGTATCTTTGCCAGGCAGGGCCCTGATTGTTGATTTTCTCATCTTGCAGATTAACATTACTTTTATTTTGCGGGTTGGAGGGAAATGTTTGTGGAAAAATCTTCAACAACCTGAATTTTGAGCTTTGGCTGCTTCAAAATGGCTGACCAGTATGGGAGAATGTAAGCCATCGTTTTGAATCTGAGAATTTTTATCAGCCTTTGTTATCTTAGAGCTGTTTGCTACATTGGTTATAACAATGAGCGAGAAGCCCCATCGATGAGAAGGAAATAATGTGCGAAACTTACTTTTTATGAGAGATTCCACTGTGATTGAGCCGAGAGGGAGGCCTGGGAAAGAGACTTGCTCTTTGCTGGATTCCTAGTCAAGATTAAAGACCGAATTTAAAAAGTTTGGGGCAGGGGTTTCTCTGCTTCTGTGTGATGAACCCCAAGTTAAGTTCAGGGGAAATGCACTTGGTTCACCAGGAGGAGCTGAAGTTGTTTGCTGAAATATATTTTTAAAATCAGGCAGCCTAGCACCCGTTCCTGGTCAGGATCTCCTAATATTTTGCCTGCTTGGTTTGAAGCGGTGAGTGTGCGTGAGAGTTCGAGAGCTGTAGCATCTGTGAAAAGAGACGGGGATGGGGGCGTTCTCCTGGTCTCTAAGTGGTTTGCTGTGATTGAACTGGCCTGTGTGAAGTCAGTAAATGGGGACATGTCTGCTGAGAGTTGTTGAGCTGTGTTTAATCAGAGCAAGCACTGCTGAATGACCTTTGTAGCTAATGTGCCCTTATCTATTCTGTCCGCTTTCCTGGAGCAGCACAGTTGGTTCCTCCTGTTCAGGGCTGATTGGTAGATAGACAGTCCTGCCTTCCTTGAGTATGTATACCCCCCTCCTACGGTCCAGAGACCAAGCATGCGGGAGGCTGCATGCCTTAGTTTGTGTAAGCCTTTTTGTTTTATTGAGTGCCCCCACCAGTAATGTTCATGTTTATCATAAAGCACAGAACCATATCACAGACTCCTAGACTTTGGCCACCCAGTGAAATTGAGCAGATTACACAGTGACCATGTGGAGATGAGGAGCTTGCCGTGTCAGGGATTGAAGAGATAATGCCTAATTTCTGAGGGAGTGTAAATGGGAATCTTTCTATTGCTGCCTTTTTGAGGATAGCAACTTTGTCTTATTCCTGTCTCCCACACTCGGTGTAATATGTGGAGGGATTGACTGGCCATGGAATACTGAAAAATCCAATGCACAATATCTTCGACGCACCTGTCTCTCCTGCCCCTTCCTGTAAGCCTTTTTTTTTTTTTCTTGCTTGTTTGCTAATGAGCCATTTACATTGCTGTAATATTTAGAGTGACTGGCCTTGACATCAAAGCAGCATTTGACCAAGTAGGCTGTCAGGCGAAATTGGTCATTGGGAGTTAGAGGGGGAAGGGGTTTTGGGGGAAGCTCTGGTGGTTGGAGTCACATTTAGCACAAAGGAAGATGGTTGCGGTTATTAGGGGCCAATTATCTCAGCTCACGTGTGTCAAGACCTAGACACGAGAACATTAATCCTCCGCATAAGTAACGTCAGCAACATCCCGAGTGCTGGCTATAACCATTGTCAAGGCATGCAATGTCGTCACCATTATCAGCATTCTCCCACGATTTCCTCTTCAGGTTAGTTCTGTATCTGTAAGAGCAAGTCAGAGGTTCACAGTTCTATAGCAAGTAACTTCCCTCCTGACTCCCCAAAGCCCGTCCATCACTTGCAAAGCATGAGTCAGGAGTGTGATGAACACAGCTTCAGTGATGCTCATGAAGCTTGACACCATCCAGGACAAAGTAAACCAAAGCCTGATCAGCATCCCATCTACCACTACAAACATTCGCTCACTCCCACCTTCAGCACATCTTGATAATTGTTTGTACTGCCTAAAAGATGGGCTGCATAGCTCACTGAGGATTCTTTGACACCACCTTCCAAGCTCTGAATAAGGGCAACAAATTCCTAACTAAAAGTTCCCCATGAAGTTGCATTACCCTCCTGATTTGGAACAACATTGCTGTTCCTTCATTGCTGCTAGCTTGATATCCATAATTGCCTCTTAGTATACTTCAAAATGCAACAATAATAGGATAACAATAATATTTCAATTTCCCTGACATTAATGGGGATAGGCAAAGTGTGAAAGAATTAGAGGTGGCAGAGGAATGAAACTGGGCAAGTGGCAGATGTGGCTGTGGGGAGCATTTTGAGAATAGTGACCACAATTCAGAAAGATGAGGTTGTTGACGTGCTTGCCAAGTTGGCTTGTTTCTTGTTTGGACATTTTGTTGCCATGCTAGGTGACATCAGTGGAGCCTCCGATGAAGCGATGTTGTTCTACTGTGCTTGGAATTTTTATACTGTCTGGTCTGTTATGGTAGCCCAAGCCAAACATAGATGCGCATGAGAATTCGTTGAGGTGTGGTTCTCCACTCATACTTCAATCAGCAAACTGATAGAATTGGACTCCATATATAAACCCATACAGATCAAAACTGGAATGATAGTACTCACCATAATGTTCCTGTAAACATGTTCCCATTCGTGAGCTGTAAGTTAGAATGTTGTCACAATTGAAATCAAAGCTGAGATAGAAATTGTTAATCATGGTTTAACCTGAATTACATGAGCCCTATTAATCAACTGATTTGTTCCCATTGGTATTGGTAGATTTGATATTGGCCATAGTGCCTTGTGAACTCCACTGATTTGTCTTTCCATTGTCCCATCGGGTCTCTTGCATTTAATCTGGTTTAATGTCTTAGTGAACATTCAGTACTGCAGTGAAGCATCCCCCATGCAGATAATCTGCTCAAGACTTAGAGTCACAGCGCATGGAAACAGACACTTAGGTCCAACTTGTCAGTGCTGAGCAGACATCCCAATCTGACCTAGTCCCATTTGCCAGCATTTGGTCCATATCCCTCTATACACCTCATATTAATGTACCCATCCAGGTGCCTTTTAAATGTTGTAATTGTAAAGTCTCCCACTTCCTCTGGCAGTTCATTCCATACACGCGCCACCCTCGGCGTGAAAAAGTTACCCTTCAGTGCTTTGAAATCTTTCTACACACACACACACACACACACACACCGCCCCTCACCCCTCGGCCTCTCACACTTCAGGGAAAACAGCCCCAATTTATTCAGCCTCTCCCTATAGCTCAAACCCTCCAGTCCCGGCAACAGCCACTGTGCTGAGTGTGGGGAGGGGTTTGGAAGAAGCAGTCTGATCATCTGGCTGGAGGACCCCTTCTGTGACACTGACTCACAATGGCTGATGTTTTTCTGGAGTGAATGGTGTGTGTACGTGCTGTCTGTTTTTATAGATGTGTACAGCTTAAATACCTTGCTGTCCATAATGTGTGCAGCAGTTGAGAGTAGGATGGTGCTTTTGGAAAACAGTCCTAGTGGAATTTCGGGAACTGGCCTGGGAATTGTTTAATACAAGCTATACATGCATTTCTTGTTGACATTTGTTGGACTGAGAGTTGATGTTGTAGGAGAATTAGCAGCAACTGTTAAGTAGTGAGTATTGTGCAGCAGTGATAGTTCATTTTAAATACTGCCTGCTTTTGTTCACAGGGTTTGAACACTGCACTGGACAGAGACTTGCGATCACCAGGTGAACGGTGAGCTGCAAGTGAGTTTATAAAACTGAAACTGGTTGAATGAATACTGCTTTCAGATGTCTACAGCCCATTGATCCCACTGTCAAAGGTAGGTATAGCCGAGCATTTTCCCTTACTCAACCTCCTTTCTCCCCTTCCTCAGATCTGCTGTTTTCCATCATGCCCTTATTCTTCCTCCCACGTTCTCACCCTTCTCAAACCCCTTCTCTGCTGGGGAGATGCCAAGGAATCATTATTTAAATGCCAGCATTGCAAGTTGGGTTGCTCAAGCTGGCCTTGGTGCCATTGGTTTAGAGAGAGAGTAGGTGTATTGGGGTGATTTGATCATACAGGAATTGGACTGGCCACAAGCTAGACATGGTTTGTTGATAATGAGGGGTGAGAATAGGGTCAGTCTTTGCCCTTGCAAATGCTTCTGTTTGGATTGATCTCTGGGTGTTAACTTGACCACTTTGGTGAAGGCTAAATATTCCAATACATGCTCCAGCCATTAAGTGTTTGGCAAAAGAAGTGACAGTGCCATGAGGCAGAGCCATTTTTATCCGGCAAATAGTTAGGATCTCGTGGCCACTGCCTAAGAACTTGGTGGAAGCAGGTTTTGTTGAGGCTTTCCAAAGGGAACTGGATAATGATCTAGAGAGAGGAATTGCAGGCAAGGGAATGGGACTCTTAATCTTGCAAAGTGGCAGGCAATTGGTAACAAGTCAATGCCTTGCTTCCCTCACGTGGTCCCCGTCTCAAAAAAGCAGAATTGCCACTCTCTTTGCTCATGTTCAGCTCCGTTTCAACCCAATCCCTCATATATCCTCTGATGTCATCACCATTGCTGATCCCTAAATCTCAAAGCCATCGTGGCAGAAGAGGTGTTCAGATTGCCTTCCGGAGACTGGGGTGAGGAATCAGACAGTTGGAATACTGTGGAGTGCTGCAGTGGAGAAGGTCCCTCACATGCTGAGGCAGATGTATCACTTCATCGCCTGGACGAGAACGTAAACAGGAGTGGGACTAAGCCATTCAGCCCCCTGAGCCCACTCCACCATTCAGGGCACCGTCACTGACCTCCATTCCAATTTCTCACCTAACCATAAAGATCCTGATTTGTTTTTCTTTTTAGAAAGAGTCCAAAAATTCAGCAATCTCAGCCTTGAATATATTTAGCTGTGCAGCCTTCTTCTGGGCTATAGGTTTGGGTTTGGCGATCCATTGAGTGATAAAATGGTAAATGGATTGCCTATTCAGAGCCTCCAGTGTTTCAGTGGGATCTTCCCTAAGAAGAGTGAGTACTGCCCTATCATCTTTAATCTCTCGTTGATTCTTGCGATGCTGGCACTGTTCACTGTCGTTATCTTTCTCGGGAGCTTGCTGCACACAAAATGGCTATTTTAAACTCTTCTAAAAACTCTTCTTTTAAACTGCATTTTTTAAAATTGGTCCTTAATTGCCCTTGAACTGAGAAACTTGGTGCATCGTGTTGAGGGCAATTTGGAATTATTGACGGTCTGGTGTAGTGTGTAGGCCAGACCGAGGTGAGGCTGACTAAATTTCTGTCCTTTCATGTCCCTGTAGCTGATGAGAACGGCAATGTTACCAGTGCACTACCATCTCCCGGCTTTACCACATTGACTAAACTTCAGATAGTACACCATTGGTTTAGGGTTGTCCCAAGGGCCTGGAAGACGTGACACAAATGGAAGTTTCTTTTAAGCTAAATATTTTACTGACCCAACTTTCGGGATGGATGGGGACTGAACCTTCGATATCTGCATTTGCATATTTTACTTTACTCTGTTTCACAGGCTGTGGGCATCACTGGCAAGGCCAGCGTTGTAAGCACGGAAGATTTCCTTCCTTAAAAGGAAATTTGCAAACCAGATTTTTTTTTTTCTTTCCTCTCTCAACTGCGATTGATTGATACTATTACAGAGGCTTCAGTTTCACAAATCCAGAAATGAAACTTACTTCCCCCACCTGCTGTGGTGGGATTCAAGCCAGTGTTCTTGGAGCGTTCGTCTGGGCCTCTGGATTGCTAGTCCACTGACTTATCCCCCAAACTGAGAATCTCTTATCGTTTGAAACACTGGAGGTTGAGGCTGGACTATTGCCTGAGCTCCTTACCCCATTTGAATTGACAATCGCTGATTTTGAATTGTTATATTTTTGGGAAGTGGAGGTAGGGTTTTTGTTCTGTCCTTGTCAGTCCGTTGTTAAACACATGCCTTCATTGGCCGTTGGCAAACGCCTTCTATAGAGCTTTAATCGCTGAAGTCCCCTATCGGCGTTGGAGGGGGTGTTGTTCAGTGCAAGGACAGTGGCCCTGAAGACACCATTTGAACTTTTGACTGGTCCAGGAATGTATTAGTCTGCAGTGATCGATGCCGCCTGGACTAGCCTTTGTTGAGATCTTGGTGGAGAGGTTACCCAGGGGCCGGGGCGGCTGTTGGGGAGGGGGATCACGTACACAGTGGAGGATAGAATATCAGTAGAATCTGCCCTTCTCCAAAGCGTGAGAACCGTGGCCGGGCTTGATGCTAAAGTGAGGGTTGACGGGGGTGGGGTGAGAGAGAGAGAAAGCACGCTCCGTCCATTCCACTGTCTTTGAGAAATGGTTGCTCCAAGCAGGCCCTGGGATCGACACCTCCTGAGAAGGGTCGTGACCTCTTGCAGGGATGGCGGGGGGGAGTGGGTGGGAAGGAGGTGATGATCTGTACTCCCTGCAGATGTTTTATCCACAAGACAAATGGATACTGAGGCTGATTTGAGGAGGCAGCTGCAGAGAGGCATCTTTTAACAGCTTACTGACCAAACTGAATGGTTAATGCAAATCCGCCCTCTCTAAATACACACTGTTAGCCCGGCTCAAGTACTTCCCTTCCCTCCCATTGCCGCTGTCCTCCTCTCCTCTTTCTTCAGCTTACAGGAGATGGTGATTTTGTTTTTCTTTTTAAAGAAAAATACCCTTCTGCCAAATGATGAAATCTTTTTCCCGGAAGCTGTGAGTGTTTTTCACTGTTTCAAATAAAACTTTGATGCATCGCAGTCTCGAGACCCCTCCGAAGTGCATTGCTCCCACTGAAGTGTAGTTATGTTGAGGAAAAACAACACTTAATACGCACGCAGCAAAGAGCTCCACCGCACAGTGATGTGACGATGAGGAAATCATCTGTTTTTGTCATGTTGGTCACAGCAGCAGAGAGAAAGGCCCCCCTGTGCTCGTCTTTGGATAGCCCCGTGTGATCTTTTGCACCTTTACCAGACCAGGCAGGCAGGGCTTTGGTGTAATGTCTAATCGGAATGGATGGCATGTCTAACAGTTTGGCACTCTTGGCATTGCACCGCACATCCACTTTGATCAAATGTTCATGCTCCCACCGTGGAATTTGAACGTGAGACCTTCTACGGTGGAGGTGGACTGAAAACCCAATGGTATCGTGACCGAAATATGAAGGGCTTCCTTCTGCTCTTGCAGTCCTCCGGTAGGTAGTTACTGACCCCATTCCCCTGATGCTACTCCACAGGTATCTTTGTGCAGTTTGTTAGTGGTAACATCGACCTATTAATCCTCACAAAGGAAGGTGAGGCTAGTCAACCAATTCTTTGTACAAAAAGAAAGGTTTGCATGCCCTTACACAGGCTAGAAGATCTCCCCACTTGGTCCATTCTGATTCTGGTCCGTCCACTTCATGGCACCATTCACTGTGAGCCATCTTCGCCTTGTTTTCCATATCCTACAAGATCTACAGCAGCAAGCTCCTCTTGTGTAGCTAAAGCCAGTTAACAGATTACATTTTTGTGATTCAGAGTGTGCATTTTTACTTGCAAGCTGTAGTCAATATTAATCTCAGTGGTGCTCAGCACCCTAGATGCCTAAGTCATGGAAATGAAAGAATTGGGCACAGATTTTGCTCCTGGTCATGGCCCAGCACCACCACCTGACTGATGCCTGTGCAGGTGGCATTTTAGAGATGGGTCAAAGTTTAATGTAATTGAGTTGCATGCCAACTTGCATTTGTTCTGGGGCTCCATTGGGAGGTGAAGGATGGATAGAACCAAGGATGACCACCACCCCCACCCATGCGTGGGTGACTTTTTGATCCTTTCTGATACCTCCCTGGGAATGATTTAAATGAATCTGGCAGCTCTAGAACAGTGGCTGGGGTTACTGTGTGCTACGGATGGTTTAGGTGTTGCCATTGCCTGGAATTTGCATCCCAGAATAGATGGTGGTTTTTTAAAAAATTGTTTAATGGTAGCCTCCGGCCAGCATGCTTCACTGTCCCTTCTCCACCTCTGCCATCTCATCCTACTGTCGTACGGTATGGTGTTTGTATTGAAAGGCCTGTGACTTACTGGAAGGTTCCGTGGACCTCTGGAGGAATGCGTTACCGTGGAAACTGTTGTGTGGCCCTCTGTTTGAGTAGTGCCAAAGTGCTGACAGTGCAGGTAGTGCCTGCTGTCTTCTACTGCAGTGTCAGCACTTAACGTACTCCTTGTACACACCATCTTCTCTGAAGACCTGGCCTTTCTGTTCTTAACGGTTCCCAATGATATATGCATCTTCTATCCACCCCACCCCAGTTTGTCTCCACCGTTCTGTCGGCCATTGAGTAATGGTTTTATACCAAATGTTGAATGCTGTGCAACGAAAATTTTGTTGACAGGCACCCGTGGGACCAGGAGTGTGCGGCGGGTTGGTGAAATATTCCGATTGATCAAGAGGTCCACGTAATCGATGCAAAAATGCACACAAAGTAACAGAAACGTGGTGCAGTGGGTATACGCTTTGCTGTTATGCTTTATCTACAGCATAAATCAGTTTAATAATGCAACTTTTGCCTTAAATAAACCTTACCAGCAGAGAGCCTTCTCACTCGCATCTTCAACTAACTACTTGAAAGTCAGGGTATTTGAAGAGAAATTGACTCGAAATTTAATCAACTGTTCATATTTCATGTGGCCATTCGATTGAACAGCAAGTACATTTACATTGAGGTAAATACATTTTTAAAAACAATAATAATTGGACAGCATTGTACAGTCTCCACTTCAGTACTTGAGAGAGATGATTTTTGACAGTGTATTGAGAATGCT